AGAGATGATACTAGATGGGCTGAAACGGTGGCATGGAGGGATATCATCAGAAGAGCTGTTCCAGGCAACCAGGGATCATGACTGTGGAGAGGCATGAGCGCTTATGCCAGTTGGCAGGGCACATGATGATGATGTCAGAATTGTAGATTCAGAAAATGGCGCGATGCCTGTCGTCGCAATTTTGGTGGTGCCCATATGTAATTAAAATTGATCGCGTGGGAAACTGCAGATCTGTTGGTGACTTCTGCTACCATCAATGATGAACTGCATTTCTAATGTCGGACTGTTTTTGTTAGCACTTAAGATGGCTGCCATATGCTTTAATGCGAGTGTATGCTAGATATGCTGAGACAGCAGTCTGTCAATCTTTCCACAAGGGACTGTGATAAACATTGTGTGTTTTTAGTTGGCATGGGAGCGGAGCAAAGATGGGGTGACCCGTTTGCTATGAAGCTGAAACTAGGACTACCAGACTACCAGATGTCAAAATGTCCACAGCCATGCTTGAAAACTAAAGGCTGCCTGGAGTGGGTCTTACTATCAATAAATTTTATGTTTTCTGCTGCTCTGTCCTTTAAACAAAATTTTTCATTTAATGGTTTTTGTGTCTTTAGCCTGTCGACCAGAACAGTTTGTTTGTGGTGATGGCCAGTGCATCTCTGAACTGCTCAGATGTGATCGCTCTTATGATTGTAGAGACGGCAGTGATGAGAGGGACTGTCGTGAGTATAACACTTGCATACTCCCCATGTGACTTCCTGGTCCGTTTTTTTTTTTTTTTTTTGGGTGGGTGGGGGGGGGGGGGTGGAGGGGGAAAGGGAGGGGGGGACCCAGGGAGGGGGGACCCAGGGAGGGGGAGGGGACCCACTATTCCTTAACAAACATTTTAAGTACAATTTCTATCAGAATTACATCCAAAATCAAAGCAAAATGTGAAACATTACAAATTACATGTTGGCCATCTAAATAATTACAAAGTATATAAATGTTACTCTTTCAGTCCTAGGGGGTTTAGCATGAGAGGTACATGGGATAGTTACCTACGGGGTTTAGCATCAGAGGTACAAGGGATAGTCACCTAGGGGATCTAGCATGAGAGGTACAAGGGATAGTCACCTAGGGGGTTTAGCATGAGAGGTACAAGGGATAGTCACCTAGGGGGTTTAGCATGAGAGGTACATGGGATAGTTACCTAGGGGGTTTATCATGAGAGGTACAAGGGATAGTTACCTAGGGGGTTTAGCATGAGAGGTACATGGGATAGTTACCTAGGGGGTTTAGCATGAGAGGTACAAGGGATAGTCACCTAGGGGGTTTAGCATGAGAGGTACATGGGATAGTTACCTAGGGGGTTTAGCATGAGAGGTACAAGGGATAGTCACCTAGGGGGTTTAGCATGAGAGGTACATGGGATAGTTACCTAGGGGGTTTAGCATGAGAGGTACAAGGGATAGTCACCTAGGGGGTTTAGCATGAGAGGTACAAGGGATAATCACCTAGGGGGTTTAGCATGAGAGGTACATGGGATAGTTCCCTAGGGGGTTTAGCATGAGAGGTACAAGGGATAGTCACCTAGGGGGTTTAGCATGAGAGGTACAAGGGATAGTCACCTAGGGGGTTCAGCATGAGAGGTACATGGGATAGTTACCTAGGGGGTTTATCATGAGAGGTTCAAGGAATAGTCACCTAGGGGGTTTAGCATAAGAGGTACAAGGGATAGTTACCTAGGGGGTTTAGCATGAGAGGTACATGGGATAGTGACCTAGGGGGTTTAGCATCAGAGGTACAAGGGATAGTCACCTAGGGGGTTTAGCATCAGAGGTACATGGGATAATCAAGACCCATGTAAAAGTCAGCTTATCTTGCATTCACTGGGCTTCTAGATAGGAACCCATGACCCCATAATGGGTTCCTATGGACTGAAGAGTTAAAATAACAAATATATACTCTGAGAACTCGATTAACACTGTATAGTCCTGTTAAAAACATGAATGTTGAATAGGATAATAATTAATGCTACTACTGTGTTTGCAGAGTCAAATAAATAAAGTTTGTTCGTTTGTTCGTTCGTTAATTCATTCATTCGTTTTCTCTCTCTCTCTCCAGCCCAAGACCACCTATGATTTTTGTGATCAATAATTTTCCATGTGTAACAATCAAAGCATGGTGTGTTATTGTTTCTTTTATCTTTGCTCTGAGTAGACTCAAGATATCTGGCTATATATGTTCATATCTTCTTCTTGTAGTCAACTCACATCCTTAGTTTTGGGATTATTGACACAGTGTCATAATTTCAACATACCAGTTTTGACTTGGTTGCAGATGATGAAACAGTCCACTTACTGTTGATTTCAACTGTGCAGTGAACACTACTGCGCTACTGTTCAGAAAGCAAAGGCAAACTACTGAATATAAAATTGCCTAGTGGGAAACACAACAGCCAGTAATGACCGAGTTGGTTTTATGAGCTGAGTTGAGTTGAGTTGAGTCAAGAATTGACGTCACAGCACTCAGGGCATTCCCATGCATGCTCTGTCCTCATCTTCAGCAGCCAGCGCAGAGTTCCAATACTAATGGTACCAGTCACAATCTGGTTATATGTCTGTCTTGCCTTTCCTTCTAATGTGGTGAGCTGGCCAGACCCTCTGATTACACCCAGATGCATCATTCGCTCCAGGCCATAATAATTTTCCTTTTCTACTGATTCATTTGCTTGTTTCTAAAGGGCCTTGACCACATCTGCTTTGTCATATATCAATTCACCACCCAGTGGTGCGGATCCAGTCAATCTGTCTGTCTGTTCATTACACACTACGTCGGCATAGCCTGGAGAAAAGATCCAAAGTATGCTCACTACACGTGACCTCTTCAGTGAAGCTTGCCACTCTGCTTGAAGCATCCCTGTCTTCACCTTCTCAGCATGCTTTCAGAGTCTCTTATAATTATGACATGTGTAAACATCTTGTTCTCTAGCCACGGCAGAGCTGCAAGTACTGCCTCCACCTCCATTATCATGCTAGATGTTGTGTTAAATGCTAGTCTGTTTTGCACTAAAGATTTTCCACTGGCTTTCGCTCCGATCCCCCAGGCACTTCCTTTTGCTCTTAACACCGAACCATCTGTATAGATAATCAGATCACCTTGATGTGAATTGTTGTGAATCAACAGTTGGACTTCCACCTCCCTAGCACCCGCTGGCCAGTCTCTGCACCACCAGCCCAATGTTATCATAACCCTACACAGACCAGGCTTTTCCTCTGGCACTCTGACCCACTCCTCTCTTCGCCCAATGTTCTCCGGCATGCGTAATTGTCTTATTGTGTCTTCTGCTTGAGCCACCCATGATTTCCCCCTTTTCAGCCTCTGATCCTTACCAGAAGCCAAAGCTTCATACAGAGGGTGTTCTTTATCTGCAGCTACTCTGAAGTATGACTTAGCCTGCAGCACCTTTAGCATATCTGCAATAGTCAGCAATGCCAAGATGTATCGTAAGGACACAGTTGAGGTGTCTCTTGTACATCCCAGGATCAGCCGCATAGCTTCATTCTGTATGCGCTCCAGTTTCTCTAGCTGACTCTTCGAGACAGTAAGTAAAGTCAGTCCATAATCAGTCACTGAGATGATTAAGTTCTGGTAAAGTGTGAACAGCATTCTCTGCTCCAAGTCCATCGCTATCATAATCTTTAGTGTATTAAGATTTTTTTTAAAGCCTTTGTCACACTCCCTCTATATGATCCTTGAAAGACAGACTTCTGTCAAAGGTGATACACAGGTACTGGCAGTCAGTTTCCCTGGAGAAAGAAATCCAAATAGTTAGAATTAAAATAACCAAAAGACAAGGACTAAACCAGTTAAGTAGTACTTGTGGTTTTCATGCTTTGGTATGTTTATCTTCATATTTTATAAGAAAGATCCTTTATTTTACATTTTGAAAACCTCTAAATAAAACAACAACACTTTTATTATTTTTTTTTTTTTTCATCATTTAACAGCACGATGCAGGAGAAATGAGTTTGAGTGCAACGATGGAACATGTATTGATCGTCGCAATAAATGTGACCGATCTGTGCAGTGTCCAGATAGTTCGGATGAGTTTAATTGCAGTAAGTGCCAGACTATTTAGTTGTAAGTGTTATGTGTTTCCAGATGAGACTATAGTAATATAGTTGTTTGTAAACTGGTTTCTTCTTCTTCTTCTTCTTCTTCTGCTTCTTCTTTTCCTACTTCTTCTTCTTATAGCCCACGCTCTGTGTTATTGATATTCATGTCTATCTACAATCTTCTGCCTGCAGATAACAAATATTTCAGACACTCTGCTCAGCCCTAGCTGAATCATTTACTCCAGATATGGTTGCTCTGTTCTTCTGCACTGTTTATGGGATTCTAGAGAGCCGTCACTACATATCCTTTATCGCAGTGTAGTTCACCATCCAGAGACAGTCGCAGCTAATCTGTCAGCCTGCTCACAAATACGCACACTGGAATATCCTAGGAAACATCCATGAAATGCTTCTTATCTGATCTTATCAAGTGATGCAAGCCACTCTGAGTGCAAGACATCAGCATTTATTTTCCAAACAGACAGATCATTATGGTCTAAGGAGAATGGCGCTGTGAGGATTTACCAGGGGATCTGGCCGATGCTGAACACTCATCAGAAGGATGATACAGATATACAATCAGACAGTTACTGGTACCATTGGAATTGGAACTCTTCACTTGCTGTGTGATGTTGATTCTTAATTCAACAACAACATTCAGGTTGTACTGTTCTCCAGCCTTTGAGAAGCTGCCATTACTGCCTTAAACAATATTCTGATGCCAGATGTTGTGACTTATACATAAAACCTTTTTTTTTTAAATTAAAAAAATGTTGTTTTCTCAAAACAAACTTTCTATTAAGAAGTTTGAAGGCTAATGACAAAATAATAAATATATTTTTTTCTCTGTTTTCAGCTTGTAATGCAGTAGAGTTTCGTTGTGGCAATGGCCAGTGTATTCCACAGCAGACTTTTTGTGACCAGAGGCAGGACTGTGTTGATGGAACCGATGAGAGCAACTGCCGTATGTTGTTTTCTTGATTTTTGTTAGTTTTTTTTGTTTTTTAACCTTTAAATGTTTTTACTGCAAAAAACTCAGGGCAAGTGACTGGCTTTTTAGCGAGTGTATAATCAAGGTGTCAAATCTGATTGATTTTAGTTTTCATGAGTTTTATTTATAGTGTTAAAAGTGATTGGTTATTCTTCAAGTGTATCAATCAAATGTAAGATCTGATTAGCTATTTTTCATGAGTATCATTTGTGGTGTTCAAAGTGATTGGTTATCCTTCAAGTTTATCAATCAAATGTCCGATCTGATTGGTTATTTTTCATGAGTATCATTTAGAGTATCAAAAATAATTAGTTATTCTTCATGTGTACCAATCAAATGTCAAATCTGATTAGTTATTTTTCATGGGAAGTGAATTTATGCATGATAAACTGGATCTGGCCAGAACGTTTTGGTGAACAAGTGAGCAATGTAAGGGCATGAGCAGATCTGTGGGAATCATGGTGGTGTAGTGGCTAGTTTAGTGGTATACAACCTGGGGGGGGGGGAATGAAGATATCTCCAGGGGGAGGGGGGTGAAAGATGTTTCGGAAAGGGGGGGGGGGGGGGTGCGAGTCAAGCAGTTTTTTTAATTTGTGATAATCTCTTATTTCTTCACTCCTCTTGAATTAATCCCATTTTACATCCAATAAATAGTGAGTTAAACTTAATTTTTTTTTCTTTTGCTCCTGTGGGTTCCAGTAAAAAGATATTCTATTTGTATTAATAGCAGGAATAATCTATAAATCCACCAGGAACTGAAAGAAGTAAAATGTATATTACAGCTCAAGTTTGCAGAGAAGATCAGTTTGCGTGTGCAAGTGGTGAATGCATCGACCGTCGACGTACCTGTGATGGCAGAGCTGACTGCCGGGATCGGTCTGATGAGCAGAATTGTCGTAAGTCTCTTAATCTTTCCTCACTTGGATATCCATGCCAATACACAGAAATAAACAAGTGGGGACCTCTTGAGGCCATTGACACAATATATAACAAACAAATAGACATATACTGGTTGATACTTATAGAAAATGTGAAAGAGAATGAAGGATACACTAGACAACATAGCAAGTGACAGTTGTAGTTACCATTATTTATTGATTTTATTTTGGTCATATTAAACGCCGTGGTGGCTTGGAGAGAATGGTGATGGAGGGTACAGTGTCCAGAAAATGAGGCAGAGGCTAATCTTCTCAAAGGTGATACAAGACATTGAAGATGCATTAGCTTTGAAAGCACATTGGGCTGGAGAATTGGCTAAAAAAAGAGAGACTTTCAGACATGCCGTGATGAGAACAACATTCTGTTAAGGACCTGCTGAGTGATGATGAGTTACCATCCCGGGATTCAAGCCTCATTTTTTTAGTGCCTTCCTTTAGGAATAGGTGAATTTCTTTGCATGACTAATTCGATACTCCTATAAAGGTGTCATTACTGGCCAGATCTGTAAAACAGCTTGAACACATGTCTATGGAGTACAGATGTTTTGTTTCAAACCATTTCTTTGAGTGCTAGTCAATACATATCTATTTCTTGATTATATCAGTGTCAGGATACTAGTTTGCTTGTTGTTCTGTAGTACAGGGATCTGTTGAGTGAGATGGTGGTTGCTAGACACATACATGCTAGCAATAAGAAGAGTACTGGCCATTTCCTAGAAATGAAAGCTATACAATGAAAGTGTTGGTAATGAAAAAAAAAAGGTTGTATTGCTGAGACAGGTACAGCAAGAGTAAATATTGTGTGTGTTATATGACCAGTCAGTTAGACCTTACCAAGTTGGCAGAGAAAAAGAAGTTAGACAACTCATGGTATAACAAGTGTGTCCTTTATCCCCTCATTATTGCATGCACAGAAGTGGGAAACATTTGATAAGAGGATGTTAAATTTTTGGTCTTGATGAATCACTGTTGTCACAGTGTTGTTATTGAGTTTGTATTGTTGTGTGAATATGACAGTTTCTTGCTGTTACTTTGTTGTTGTTGATGCTCTTCTTCTTTTTCTTATCTAATTTTTTGTTTTCTTCTTCTTCTCTTCTTTTTTCTTCTTTGTCTTTTTCTTCATCTTGCTCTACTTCTTCTCTTCTTCCATTCTTTCTTCTCATCTACGACCTATTCTTCTTCTTCTTCTGCTGCTCCTCCTCTTCCTTGTTCTCCTCTATCTCCTTCTCCCCTTCTGTCATCTTCCTCTATCACCCGTCTCTTCATTCCTCCGCTGCTTCTTATGCTCTTACCCGTCCTTCCTTTCTTCTTCTATTTGTACCTGATGAAGAACAGTTAATGACAATCTTGGCTCTTAAAAAATACCATCTCTCCACTGCCTCTAACAAATTGCTAAAACACAACTTCAAACATAAATGTTTTTCTAAAAACAAAATGCTGATAAAAATAATTTGTTAACTAAAATATTGTTAAGAAATATATTGTTAGCAAACAACGTGAACATAAATTTAGTTTAAATTTAGCAATCACAAGATATATAATGATAACACACAGTTGCTAAATTGGAGCTACATTAAAAAAAAAAAAAAGATTCTTTTTCACACCTTAGGCGCATTGGGTATATGGGAAGAGTCCCATTTTTTCAGACCATCAGCACTAGATGGGTAATGTGGTCAGTATTTCGCCGGCAGTTACCTTTTTTTTCCAGAGCTACACACACACACATATATATATATATATATATATACTTTTTTTAGCTACATAGATATATATATATGTGTATATATATATATATATATATATATATATATATATATATATATACACACATATATATATATATATATATATATATATATATATATATATATATATATATATATATATATATATATATATATATATATATATATATATATATATATATATATATATATATATATATAGTAAACATGCTAATATAGAGACATATAGTAAATAGTTGCTGATATATTTGTGTAGCAAATAGATGCTAGTCTAGGGACATATAGAAAACCGTTCATCATGTAGGATTACATAGAAAACATTTCGTAATATAGAGATAGATAGTATGCAGATGCTAATATAGAAGTACATAGCAAACAGTTACTAGTATTATACTGGCTATCCTCCGAATAACGGTCTCAAATTATCGAGGCCGAAAATATACCCTAACAGGGCCTCAGTCACATGTAAATTGACTACACAGCATACCATAGAAAAGCTTCCGCGGAGTTAAAGTCACAGCTGAGAGTATCTCCCACACTGCTACGTGCGGCTAAACTAGAGCGGGGCTAAACTAGATGGCTAACACTCACGAGAAGCAGCTACTGCATCTCCTGTAGCTTCCTTCATTTTATTTGCTCATGAGTCCCAGCCATCTAATTTAGCCCCACTCCACACCGTGCGAAGCAGCGCGGGTGATACTCTCGGCGGTGGCGGTATAGTCGCCGGAAAGAAGTCTGCAATTTACATGTGATTTATAGGGTATTTTTTCGGCCTCAATAATTTGGGACTGTTACTCTGAGGATAGCCGAACTACTTATATATTTAAAACAGTTTCTTGTTTAGAATTACATATATATATAATAAACAGTTTCTAGTATATAGCTATGTAGCAAAAAAGTTGTTAAAATAGAACTATATAAAAATATATTTTGAAAAATAGCAATACAACAAACAGTTGCTAACATAGAACCACATAACAGTTACCAACATAGCCATATAACAAACAGTTGCCATTATAGTATTGCTAACCTAGAAGTTCAAAGCAAACAGTTGTGAATAGTCATTGTCAGACTTGCTATTAAATGCCAGCTATCATAAATCTGTGTTTAGTTTGCCAGCAGAGAATTGCTAACATATAGTTAAAAATATTGTTTTAATTACAAGTAAATTATTGCTAACACATAGTTATCCTGGCTTTAATTACAAGTAAATGATTGCTAACACATAGTTATGTTTTTTTTTTACAAGTAAATGATTGCTAACAGAAGCCGCAAAACATAAATAAACATTAATCTATGTTCAATTTGCCAGCAGAGAATTGCTAACATTTAGTTAAAAACATTGTTTTAATTACAAGTAAATGATTGCTAACACATAGCTATCATGTTTTTGTTTTTTTAACAAGTAAATGATTTGCTAACACATAGCTATCATGGCTTTAATTACAAGTAAATGATTGCTAACAGAAGCTGCAAAACAAACAGGTTTTACTCACGACATTAGTTGTACTTTCTGCACTGTGTAGCCTGTGTAGCCTGGAGTTGATATACTTACATAGGAATATTGCTGAAATAAAGGATGTGTTGCATGCATGGCCAGACTGCATACTTCAGAATGTTAGCTGTAGCAATTTTATTTTACAAACTGTGTTTCATTTGTGTATTCTGTAGCTACCTAATCATGTCTTTAATATTTAGAACTAGCTAGTGTGCATGGAAATATTAGTTTAATGAAGGTTCAGCCCTTAGAATATTTGAATTCTAAACTGATATAATGGTTTTTGTTTAATCTTCCTCTAGGAGTGGAGAGATAGCCGATTTTTCATCTGTCATCTCTTGTTCTTTGTGTTGTGTTTTAACCCTTGTGTACAATGAAAGTTTCAGCTTGTTATTTTTTTTATGAAGAATAGCAGTGTAAATGGCTAACCGGATTCTCTCAGTTATGTATTAATAGCTTACTTTGGGTGTAGTGTGATATTTATTCATCAGATAATATAGGTGCTTTTTCACTGTTGATACTCTCAGTAAGTTGTTTCTGTATACTTTTATCTTCTTCCTCTTATGTTTACTAGACCCTGTTCTGCCTTTCATTGTCAGGTTTTGAAGAGACATCTGGTGTGAGCCTTTGTGTCGGCTAGCCAAATGCCGGTATTCATGGCATCAAATATTTCAACTATCCATCACTTACATGGGCGACCTCTAGCTCTGCCTCCCTTGTGTCTCAGTGCCAGGGCTCTCTATAGAGTACTATCTTTTAGAAATCTCAAAACATGTCTAAATCATTTAATCTATTTCCCTTGATGTAGTTCAGCACTTTTAGACTTTCACATTAGCCTATAAAGTTCATCTGAAAAATTGCTGTTTTTGCAAGTAAATGTGTTTTCTTCTTTTATAAGTCAAAATATTCATTTGCCATCTTCACAACAGTAATATATTTCCAACATTGTTTTCCTTCTTTATGAGGCAAATTCATCTTTTAGTTTTATTTCCCTATTTTCACAACTATCTGTATCCTGAACATTTGCTTTCCATTCATTCATATAGCATAGTTGTTATAAGGGTATTTTGTCTTTTTCAGTGCTAAAAATGTTTTGTGTCTGAGATTAAATAGTTCCTAGGGAAGCAAAGAATAACTTCTAAGCAAGTCATAATATGTGACTGAGGACGGTTGGTCTTGTTGTTGGCTACAACATCGTGTAGAAAGCTTCAGTCACAAAAGCCAAACAGCCAAACAGCTAACAATAGTTGACTGGGTGCTTTCTTAATATCCTACCCTAAACAGGGGAAATCCACAGGTCACAGGACAGTCTAATATTTCAGGGGGTGGTAGATAGGCTGCATGCAGTTGAGTGATCTTGGCTGCAAGCAGTTGTGGGACCTAGGCTGCACTTTCTCGAGGGATGTAGGTGGGTTGAGGTTAGAGCCAGTTTGAGACGTTTTGGGGTTGTTAAAGCATCAGAAAGCTGGCAAACCCAGTCTTACCACCGTCTAAAATGTTGGACTGTCCTGTGACATCATCTGAGGTAGGATATTGCAAAAGAACCATTGACTGAAAGTCTGCACTTTAGTTGCAAGCAAATTGCAGAAGAATAAGAAAATATGTAGGCAAATTTTTTTTTGGGGGGGGGGGGGGGGGGGGGGGGTTGTTGTTGTTGCAGGTATTTGTTTATTGTTAATTTTTTATTTTTTAACTATCAAATTTTTCTGTGGATCATCACCTTAACACTTTTATTAATTCCAACTGCTTGTTCATTGTTAAAATGTGTGCCTCATTTAAGAGTTGTTGTAGCTGTTGTTGGTCGATCACAGGTGATGATGACCAGTGCTTTCATCCATTATTGTCAAAATATGTGCCGCATTTAGAGGACACATTTGATGACAGTCATTTCTGAGCTGTATTTTAATAATTTGATATGTAGAAGTATTTTAAACAGTGATATCCTGTTCAAAACACATGAGTTACAATTTGGAGGAAATAAGGTTTTTGTTCCATTTCACTATTAGATGATTACGCTTGACAGTTACTTTTGGCTATTTAATATTGTATAGATACTGTATTAATTGTACGAACTGCAGGAGTATAGATTGTTAAGTTTAGGATATTTAAAAAATACTTTTAAAATAATTATTTTAATCATTTGAAAACTCTTTCATTGGGAATATTTAAAGTTATTTGCAATGCTATTATTCTGTCTTAAGATATATTTACACCTCATTTACAAAACTTTTTTCTTGTCTCGTACTGCTACAAAATATGTTGCATGAAATATGAATGTTATCCATGGACAGGGAATACATTTTCTTAGTTTGTGAAAAGCCTGTCAGCATAGATGGTTTTAGATTTACTTCTGTTTTCAGAGAATATTTAACTGTCCGTTCCCATTTTAACATAATCATTGGTCGTCTTTTTGCTTTGGGCTGGGACTTTCAATGCCCACTTTTTCAGCTATCCCTCCATCTTTCCAATGCATGCCTGGTCAGTATCGTTGTGCAACTGGGCAGTGTATTGATGCTGGCTTCAAGTGTGACCGGCAGATAGATTGTCTTGATAGGTCAGATGAGACCAGATGTCGTAAGTTACTGATTCTTTTTATATTTTATTTTTGGTCCTTATTCCCTGAGATGCTGTTCCAAGATTTAATATGTTTTATCTGTGGTCTCCTGCATTCATGTTTTGACTGATTAACACTGCTTTGTAAAGATTTTGCTTCATCAAAGCTTTTTTAATATTCAGCTGACACATTTCTGTGCATGCTTGTCTTGAGATCAGACTTGGTTTCTGCTTGGCTATTAACATTCTTTGGTTGTTTCTGGTATATGTAAAAGAGCACTGAACACCACTATAGGCAAATGATGTCAAAAGGCATCTAACAGTATGTATAACTTATTTTACTTAAGCGGTGTTTGCCTTACCTAGGTCAAAAGGGATAATTTATGAAAGGAAGTATTTCAACATTTAAAACTATTATCATCATCATTGTCTTGTTGTGCCATTAAATATCAAATAGGGCCTGCAGTCTGTTTCTCCATTCCATGCCATCCTGTGCAGTCAGTTAAATATCATGGAGCGAATCCAGTTTGGTACCTTTGGCTTCTCTTATCTACCTTTGTTTTAGGATTTATTTTGAGTGTCTTTATTTGAGCCCATTTATTTCCCAGTTTAGTGATTCTGTGCTCATTGCTTCTCAAAATGTGTCAAATATTGTGTCATCTTTGTCTAATGACTCTTGTTACTAATGGTTGTCCAGACATTTCTCTTATTTCTTCACCCCTCTTGAATTCAGCTTAGAGCTATGTTTAAAAGAAATGTTTAAAAAAACATTCCACCTGAAATATTAGTCCGTAAATGTAGCATTTGTTCCACCAAAACCTAGCTGGAAAGAAGTAACTTTTAATATCACCAGCGGTCAGATGGATATCAGCCATTCTGGCATGCTCTCAGACATGCCACTAGCAGCAGTTTTTTACTTCAGTCAGAATCAGATAACCCTGTCTGTGTGTCAATGCTTTAAGTGTGTGTTTGTGTGTATGTGTGTACGTGCATGCACTGGCATATGTTTCGATTTGTGTGTGTGTATGTGCATGCCTGCGTGTCCTCTGTATATCTGCATGCATGAGTATATGTGTGCATGACATTCTATGTGTGCTAGTGCATATGTGTGTGCTAGTCTGTCTCTGTGTGGATTTGAAAGTCTTTAGTGTCTATGTAGGTATGTATGTGTATATCTTGTATACATTTGTATGGTTATAAGGAAACATGTATGTGTCTACCTATTTGAATCTCTCTCTCTGTGTGTGTGTGTGTGTGTGTGTGTGTGCAAGCATGCACATATGTGTCTCTCTCCTATGCCTGTTATTAATATGATATCAACATTAACCCAGAAAACCTAATTTATTGCATTTTAATGTTAGTTAATTACCCAGTCATCCTTTGTAAATCAGACTATAAGTGCTCATATCCCATCTTCAGTATCTCCCTCAGCATGTGGCAGTCGAAAACACCAGTTCAATCTTGGTTTACTGTTCCTTTTTGGCTGCCTGTATAGTGTTCATGTCTGGTGATACTACTTTTGACTTGAAGTTCTTGTAGCCTTGTCAAGCTTACTGTTTCAACGTCGTCTCCTGAATCAACCTACTCATCCTGTGTCCTTGAGATCTTTCAGAACATCGGTCTAATCATTTCTTTTCCTATATCCAGCATGGCCTTGTCAGCATGCCAATCCACTGATTCATTCTCTCTTAACCCAGATTGTCCCGGCATAAAAATGAAACTGATTCCTCTCACATAAGATTTCTTCAGAGAGTCAGACAACTGTTTTCGAACCCATCCTCTCTCAATCTTCTTAAGCATGACCATGGAATTAGTGAGATAGCTCACATGGGTATATATATGCCTTTAAAGTCCATCATTAGGTACTTGCTTCTACATACTTTTGTAATAATGACAACCACTGTGACTTTTAACACTACATTACTCCTTCCTTTGCTTACGTTTTCCTTCTTACTTTTAGACAGAAGATAATTTTTAATGTAGTAAAGATGTTGCATGTGATCATGAAATTATGTGCATCATATTTTATATATATATATATTTATATATATACGTGTGTGTCTTGTGTATTCTTTTGAGTTAGCTGAATTAAGAGGGGATTTCATGTTTTCTGCATTCACCCTTAAAAGGGCATTTGGCATGTTGCATTGTGGTTTACAGTCAGGCTGTGATATATGACCTTTCAACACATCCAATTTCAGCAAACCCTTCAGTAATCATCTTTTACAACATGCTTGTTTAAGAAAAAAAGGTCTGCCCCACCCCCTTTTCACTTTTGTCCCGACCTCTTCCCTGTAAATGGGGCCCTAGAAGCCTCACTAGGTACCACTGTTTGATGTTTGAGAGCCATGACAACAGTCTCTTTTTCTAACTGCCCACTTCATAAACCCTGGCACATAGGAGGTTGTGAACTGAGTTCATTAATCTATAAGCAACAAAGCAGCAGACTGACAGCATGACCAGATTAGGTAAAATAAGGAATAAGTTCATAAGAAAAAAAATGACAGCACAGAACCCATTCTTAACTGCATGTAAAGACATCAGATCAAATGGTTTGCACAATTAGAGAGAAAGTCTTTTGATGCCATACCATAACAATAAAACTAAAGAAGAATATGACATTGACCATTAGGTAGACCAGTAACAATATGGAAAGATAACGTCAGAAAAAACTACAAAAGCAAAATATGTCTGTGGTCGAGGTGGCCAGAAGAGCAAGAAACATAATCTTTTATCTTTCCAAACACATACAGCAGTAAAAGATAAAGTAAAGAAGAAGAGGAGGAAAAGAAAATAGCAGTGAGCTTTAAACGTAAATACTGTAGACGCCATTAGTCTTTTGCAGGACAGCATGCATTTAGAACAATTTATGTCTGCTTGTTTTTGTTTCAGCCTGTTCCTTGGGGGAATGTTTCATATTCAGATGTGTTTCTAATTTATTTTGTGATCTAAATATCCAATGTGATTTTAACATTTGGCTTGATCTCTGAAAAGAAATAGTATGTTGTATTTCCATCTGTTATTGCTCATTGTTATCTTAAACTTACTGCTTTTGCAAATGAATTATAGACATAAAAATTATGTATATGTATGCTTATATTTGAATTTTCTACATTATATATATATATATATATATATATGTGTGTGAGTGTGTGTAAGTGTGTGTGTGTATATATATATATATATATATATATATATATATATATATATATATATTACTATAAGACATCATCTGTGGTATGCACACGTTATTTAAACAAAATTAAGTTCTTGTTTTTATTTTTATTGCTATTTTAGGACCTGTTTATTACCGCCTAATGAACTCATTCTCGCAAATTGTAGTCCATATTTGTAGCATTTTTTTTTAAATGCTTGGATGTAACACTAGGTCTAATTTCCAGGCTTTTAAATGTATTGTATTCATAGTATTATGCTTGATGCTTCATTGACTTTATGATCACATTTGTCTGTGCGAAACGTGGGGAAATAATCAAACTACTAGAAATTAAAACATTGATGTAAAAGGTCTATGAATAACAAGGAACATGTATTAGTAGCAAACAGCAGCTTAGGAACTGACAACCATTTGTAAACATTTCAGAGCATAAAAACGGGGGATACAACATGGATGTGTACTATCACCTGATCTGTTTTCTTTATACAGTGAATATATACTGAGATCTATCAGGAATAATATGTTAAGAATTGTGGCTGGTGGTCATACCATTAACAACCTACATTATGCTGATAACACCACCATGATAGTGACAAGTCAGAAAGAACTACAGAGATTAAAAGATATGGTGGTAGAGAGACATGAACACCCATGCCAGTTAGCAAGGCACTTGATGATAATGACTCGTAGTTTTATTATAGATTAATCAGCACTCAAAGGGTACAGCACTCAAAGGGTACAGCACTTAAAGGGTACATCACTCAAAGGGTACAGCACTCAAAGGGTACAGCACTTAAAGGTTACCGTGCTAGTTATTATCCCCCGAGACATCATTATTTCTGAGAACATTTCCCTAGATTTTTTTTTTTTTCAAGTCTTGGTCAACCAGAGAGCTCAGATACATTTTAAAAATCTGTCTTGATTCGGATTAGACCCAGTGACATCCAAATTAGCAGACAAGAGTGCTAGCAGCGGTACTACCTGGACTCCTCATCATTACATTGATTTGAAACTTGAAGTGTAGATTTCTTCTTAGTTAAATACAGACTCTCATTGACTCATTACCTAGTGCTGTACTTTGCATGTGTGCGCATGCGTGCGTGCGCGTGCACATGTGTGTGTGTGTGTGTGTGAGAGAGAGAGAGAGAGAGAGAGAGACGAACTGGTTATAGGTTGAATTTATGTTTTGAACACTGTTTTTATTCAAAAGGTTTATAAAAATGGTACATAAAACATAAATTCAATCTCAATCTACACATGTATACTTATTGTAAATAATGTGAGAAATACATCATAGATAGTCTGCTGTATCAGTTCCAAGAACTTTTTTTACCTCAACATTGTAGTTATCTTTCTTTTTTTTTTTAAATATGCGCGTGGTTTTTTTTTTCTCCCACACATGTTATGTCAAGGAAAAAGTATAGTTAAGCCCCTTAACCAAAGGGGTTTTAGAGCAACAAATCATATGCCTGATTGAAAACCGGGTTTTATCTGAGATGGTGAGTTGTAATCATTCACAAGTTCTGATTGTTTAAAAAAAAATTTGAAATATTTAAACAAGAGCACCACGCTGATGTTCCATAGCCATATTTTCAGCACCAGTTCGGCGATGCCCTGAGACCCAGTTTCAATGTGACTCCGGTCATTGTTTGGACGTGCGGAGACGATGTGATGGCCGAAGGGATTGTCCAAATGGTTCTGATGAAGTTGGCTGTCGTAAGTTGCACTGTGGCACATTTTGCCATAAAACATCTGTTCTGGCAGCAGATTTTGGTTTCTCTGCAAATGTAATATGTTCGTGCTAACGATTTGCTGTGAATGTTAACTGCCGAAAATACATTTTTGAATTATGCGTTCCTAAAGATAACTATTGGATTTTTACCCCACCCCCTGTGTCAAAAATAACAATTCTGCTTTGTACTGACATTTTCTATTTATTTAATAATGTTTAAAACTACAGTTTTTTGTTTGCTGATGTGTTAAAAATTTGTAAATGGTTGCTTCATAAACATCGCTTTGAATGTTAATCCATAATTGAAATATAACACCACTAACTATAAGTATACATGTAGGATAAAGTTATGTTTGTAAATGATATTATTATGGAACAAATAAAAACAGATACACTCACTCACACTAACCCAGAACAGAAAATTAGAAGAGCTGAAAAGAGCTGCAGAAGTGACATGAAGAGATAAAATCAAGACTGGGGTCATTAGAGAAAAAGTTGGCACAGAACCAAATTACATACAAAGACAGCAAATCAAATTGTTTGCCCACTAGAAGACAATGTCTTGTGACACCAAACCATATAAGGCATACACCAAAAGGGGAGAAGGACATAAAGCATGAGGTATACCAAGAACAGGATGGAAAGATAACAGTAGAGAAACACTACAACAGCACAGTGTGTCTATGGTTGAGGCAGCCAGAAGAGCAAGAAACAGAACTTTATATATCTCTATAAGTGATAAAAGAAGAAAAGAAACAAAAATGTTGAATGATAATCAGCATCACAGCAATCGGGACACCCCCATAAGCGCTTCATCCCCATCTTCAGCAGCAAGCAAAGAATTCCAATTCTGATGACACCAGTAACTGTCTGATTGTATATCCATCTCACCTTTTCCCTGAGCTTTGAGCACCGGCCAGATCTCCTTGATAACAGAAGAATTAAAAGGAAATAAAAACATAATGTATATTTCGTGTTCTATCTTCCATACACACTAGTCCAGAATTAAATTTTCTTTAGAGATCAGATTTGTAATGAGCAGGCTGATAGACTGGCTACTGCCACTCTTCTTGACAATGATCTGCTTTGTGATAAAACAGACATTGTGAAGACTCACTGGGATCAGATGGAGAGTTCAATAGAATAGACAGAAAATCCATACATTGAAAGACTTATTCAATTGTGGCGAGGGTGGTTGTCGAGTAGAGGCCAACAGTGAGGGGGAAACAAAGGCAGACATTTAATCAGGCTGCAGCTGGTAATATTAGCCTGTTGACTCTTAGCTGGCTACTGAGGAAGGAGATGGAGCACAAATGAGAATGTCCTGAGTGCATTTATGTCAATTCTTGATCATTCATTCATTCATTCATTCATTCATTCATTCATTCACTTGTCATGGCTAAGAATATGTTGAGGCGTAACACTATTACAGAGCTGTCTTAAACTAAGTTATAAATTTATGACCAGAGTGTATTTTTCAGCTTTGTAAATTTGTGTTTATTTTGCAACAGTGGCATGTTTTTAAGCCTTTTCACTTTGCTTGTAACAAATTGACAACAGTAACATTTTATTTGATATTGTAAATGTGTGTTATGTATTTACCACAATAAAATCAGCTCAGCTTTTTAAATTTACATGTTACAAATTGGAAGCAGCAGCAACATTATTATTTTCTATGTAAATATTTGTTGCATTTTTACTAGCATACAGTGTTTCAGCTTTGTAAATTTGTGTTAACAATTTGACACTAGTTTATATTGTAATTTTGTTTTACATATTTACAGCAGTTGGGAGTCAGCGTGGCGGAGCAGCTAGGTGCTCGCCTGCAGATCGGAAGGTCTTGGGTTTGCTCCCTGGCAGAGCCAGACTTTTTTTTAAAAATGACTTTGGATCCCAGGTTGACCTAGCCTTTAGTGGGTACCGGGTGCAGTCCTGGGAAGTAAAGGTGGCGGACGTGATGCTGACCACATCAACCATATAAATTATAGGTCTAGTCCTATATGCCTTATATGCCTGAAGGCGTCTTTTACTTTTACTTGACTATATTTACAGCAGTATATTTTTTGCAGCTTTGTAACAAAATATTATTGTTGTGTGCTGTCTGAGTTACACAATAATCAGCACATGACCAAGTGTCTACAGGTACGGATATTCACTTGACACACTGAATTACTATACGACGCTGTTAGCTCCACCATACATCAAGTTTATTGGAACAACACACGAGGGTATTCACAAGCCCACACATTGACGAAACTGCATACTTAGAGACGTAGACACTGATCCTAATTGGCATTCGTACATAGTCTTCACTCTTTCTCTCTCAAACTTGAAGCGTTTTCCCCCTCTGACCACTACAGCTCCGAAGCTCTACAGCGTCCCACAACTTTAGGCTCACTGTACATAAGAACCGGTACAACTCTCCGATCAACTGGACATTGATATTACTTCAGCAGACAACACCGTCTGACTGGCAATGGTCTTCACTTGCTCGTTCTCCAGCATGTGCCCACAGCACATCAGCCTATTGAAGGACTCCGATGTGACCGACAGGACTTCTAACACAAGTCCCCTCTAGCACACAGCTCTCGTCAGCATCCCTACTGCTCTGTTTCCATGGTGATCCTACGTCTGCTTGCGTCATCACCCAGAACAGTCACTATTGGAGCGTCCAGTTCTCTTGGCCTTACTTCGCCAGCGTGACTCTACCTCGACCAGTACCGTGACCGAGACACTCACTCAGACCTTGCTGTCTGACGGGTGCATGGTAGTCTGTCTCACTTGAGAGATACTGACTCTGACCCTGACTTGGTCTCCCTCTCTCTCTAACTGACTCACTCACTCACTGACTGACGTACAGCACCGTCGTGCTGGGTGTGTACTACACCCGCACTTCCCCAGTGCTTTAGCTCTCCGGCTGCAGCTCACTGCTTGACTGACTCTCAGTACATATATACCTTTTCTGTCCCATGTTGGCGGCTATGGTCACTCGGGAGTCACGCTCATGTGGGCATTCTCGGGAGTCACGCTCATGTGGGCGTTCTCGAGAATCGTGCTTATGTGGGTGTTCTTGAGACTCACGCTCATGTGGGCATTTTCTAAAATCTCGCTTATGTGGGTGACTCCGGCTTAGCATGAGAATCATGCTGACACGTAATTCACACTTTCTCTGTGCGTCTAGTTAGCCATGCTTGTCAGCCCCACAGTGAGCCCACACATCTACTTTCTTTTGACACTACACTTATTACCGGTCCCAACATTCTCACCCCCTCACTACTTGGGCAAATGTTGACACTGTTCACGGGACATTCCCTTAAACTCCCAGAAGTAACTATCATACCGCTCTGTTCCTTCACACAATATTACACTCTCCCAAATCAGCACGCAACAATTATATAGTTTAATGCCTAATTTATGTTGAGAAATGTTTGATCTTTATAATATACTTACATTAACTCCTTTGTCGCTTTATCTTATTAAAACTTGATACTAAGGTATTGTATTACTAACATGCTTTATGTCGGTGTAAACATAACTTATTGCAAGTGAAGTTAGCATGTAGTTACTTCTGTATCTGCTGATGGAGACTATGCTCTCATCTAATTTTTAATAGACAGTAAAAGGTAGTCTCATAAAAGAAGGTGAGGTTTCATGTGAAGTGTTTGTAAATGACCTTTTCAATGTCTTTAGAGGTATTGAGCATAGAGTGCTCGGCCTATTTTATTGGTGTAGGATGTAGTCAGCATCACGCTGGCTATCTTCACTTTCCACTGGTACCCATTTAAGGCTGGGTTTGACCTGGGAGCCAAGGTCATTTTTTGAAAAAATGAGGTGCCATTAATGAGATAATAGACCTTCACGATTGGTTTCTGTGAGATGAGAGGTGGTGAGTTCTTTTCCCTTTCACTTTTGTTTCCCAGAAAATTCTATAAATCTGGTGCCTTTTTTTAATGCTGTTGAGCTTCCTGTTAGGCAGAACTTTTTCAAATATTGCTTCTACCTCGTTTTTCTTAGGTTTAGTCAAAGAATATTTAAAATAACTGGCACTATATGTATGTGTGTGTGTGTGTGTGCGCGCGTGCATGCATGTTTGTGTGTGTGTGTGCATGCGCATATCTATACACACATACATACATACACACACATATACATGTATATATATGTGGGTGTGTGTATGTATGTGTATATATATATATATATATATATATATATATACACACACATATACATATGTGAGTGTGTATATATGTATGTATACACACACAAACACGCACGCACGCACACACACACACACAGAGGGCACAGCGCACAAAGAACAGGTGCATTTAGGTGCCTGTGAAAGTGAGATATGATTAGTATTTCCCATTTTATAATTTCATCTTGTTTTATTGAATGCATGAATGAATGAAGAACTGACATATATGCTCTGCCCCCTTCTTCAAAAGCCAAGAAGAGTTCCTGTATGGATGATGCCAGTTGCAACCTGATTGAAATTTTGCCTGGCTTTTTCTTTTGTGGGTGAAAAAGGGTCCAGACCTTTTGCTAACTCCTACCTGAATATTTCTTTCCAGACACGGATGTCTATTCTGTTGCACTGTTTGCTTGATCCAAGAGATCCTTCAAGACGTCAACTTTATAATAAAGCAGTTCATCAACCAGAGGATTGACAGCAGCTAATCTATCAGTCTGCTCATTGTTACGTATACATAAAAAAAACAAAAAAAACAAAACAACCATAGTAGTATTTAATATGTTCGTACCCATGTATGTTCTTATTAAAGTAACAGATGTTTAGAACTTAATGAATTAAGGTAACGCCTGCCTGTGAGTGAAAAAAGTGAATAAAGCGGTTATTTAAAAATGTGAAATGCAGGATAAACGAAACAAAATTGACATTATACTTTATCCAGTTATATATAAACTTGTCTAATATTGGCTTGAAACACTGACTTCAGAGCATAAAAGAGTTAATGACATGCACATAATTTTACATTTACTGTTTTTAGATTTTACGTTTTCCATTTAGAGATTTATTTTACACCTGTTTTTCAAATACAGGTAATGTAATCATTGTCCAGTGTCCAGCTGAGGGTATTTTTCTTTTATCTACAGCAACTTGCTCACCAGCAGACTTTACCTGTGGTAACAGCCAGTGCATCCCCATTACGCAACGATGTGACAGGCGAAGTGACTGTTCAGATGGAAGTGACGAAAGAGGATGCCGTAAGTTTACTGAAATAAAAGAGAGTAAATGAATGTTGCAGAGAAGAGACTTAACACTGAATACTTTACTGTAAGGTTTTAATTGGTTGAAACAGAGGAGAATAAATGGAAAGCAATGATGAATACTTTACTGTGTGCATATTTAAAAAAAAAAAGGGATTCTATGTTCATTGATAATTGGGAGAAAAACAACACAGACTGTAGTCTCGGCAAATTCAGTAGCATTCCTACACATCAAATGCATAAGGCAGTCATCAGAAGTGCAAACACATATAGTCCAGAACTTGAATTGCAGTTCATCGTCAGTGTAAATATCAGTTACAACAAATTATTAGTTGCACACACAACTGATTGCATAAGGCACCACTAGTTATGTGGAAACAGGCCTCTTGACATATCCTGAATTTGCCGTTGACAACACAAACCACTTTGCTAATATGGATGACCTGTAGCTCTTATATGGGTGACCTGTAGCTCTGCTTCTTCTGTGTCTAAGTGACAGAGCTCTATGTCCTGATTTCTCTTCTTACTGTTTCTTTGAGCAAGCCAGTGTCCAGTGCCTACTTGCTGGGCTTGTCACAGTTTCAGAGAGTTTTTAAGCTACAGTACTGCTGGCTTGCAATGCTAGGTGCATGGACATCTCCCATGCACACACATTTTGTAGCAACATTAAATATGTTGCCCATGAGGCCAGGCTGTTTTCGTATTTATTTCCTAACCATTGCCTTATAGCTTCTGATGGTTCCTGCAGGTCAGAAGATATACGTGTTTTTTTTTAATATGGAAAGGGGGGGGGGGCATGGGGGATGGGTTTGTATTACCAATGTCTTTTTTTTCTCCTTTTTTTTAATAGTTTGTTGCCATTTATTTTAGCGTGTGCTACTGGAGAGTTTACCTGTGTCAGTGATGGCAGGTGTTTACCACCCGGGTACAGATGCAATGGCAATCCTGACTGTAGAGATGGCAGTGATGAACAAGATTGTGGTAAGAAATACAAATACACTTGTTTGTTTCTGTTTCTCTCCTAACTCTTTGAGTTTCAAGGAACGCATTACAAGTTTTTTGGTTACTACCCAGCTGCCCTGTCAGCATGTGGCAAGTACAGGTATTTAATGTACAACTTCTGTTTCTTCTTTTTTCAATATCTGCTTATGCCGCTAGGGGTGGCAGTCCTTCAATCCATCTTCTTCTCAATCTTTCCCTGCCTCTTGATGTTTTGATTTTCAGGTTTGACTTTCTTGCTGCTGGCATCGTTGGTTTCATTATCATTAGATAATCAAACCATTTCATTCTTTGTTTCTCAGTATTTATTAAAATGACTGTTGTTCCAACAGTTCTTGTAATAATGTCATGCTCTCTCAATCTCTTCTGTTTTTATTCACACCCATTCTCAAACAGCTCATCTCACAGCTGGTTAGTTATCTCTCATGTTCTTTTAGTCAATGTCCAAGTTTGACATTGGTAAAGTCGGTATAAATTTTGTATTTGTGTATATACAATGTATATTTATTTAATATTTATGTGTACCACAGGGCAGCGTAAAAACACAAGCTGGCAGTTCTGAATGGTATTTCATCATCTTTTTGTTCAATAGCACATGTCTTGACCATTAGGTTCATTCAGAAACGTGGTTAAAAGCATAAAATATAGAATGTTTGTGAGCTTCACTGCGTTGCTAAGTGTCTGTTTAAAAACAATAAAGCCTCCAAACAGACTTCTTCATGCATGCCAACAAGATTTTTGTCTTTAGAACCCTCAGATTTAAATAAAAAACATGTTTATTAGATTTATCTGAAGCTAGGCAAAGAAAGTTGTGAAGAAGACTTGTTTTAGTCATTGAAAGAGTTAAACCTTGATGAGGGATAACTCGTGCAAAACGTACAATGATAACAAAGTCAGCTGACAAAAAATAAAAATATATTTATGAAAAGTTTTCTTTTTTCAGTGTCACTTATGTCTAATTTGATTCCCTTATTATTTAGGAACATAGCCTGTACAGTTATGGACAAACTGTGTATTATATGCAGTTCATACTTTTTGGGTGAAAATAATTTTTATTTTTTCAGAAGTCATTTTTCTTTAGTAAACTATGGTGCTTTGTTATGGTGTTCCAAAAGTTTCTTTAGAACAAGATCTAATTTACAGATTGTGTTTATATTTTATTTAAATGTTACTAAGCAGTTCTTGTTCATTTGTGATTCATTTTGGATATACTATATTCAGTTTTTCCTGAACGCGATGACTGCAAGTGGATAAACTATTTTTTCATTTTACTAATTTATCTATATTGCACGGCAGCTGAATTAGTATGGTCTGTTTTAATGTGTTACACCTGTGTCATATCAGAATTGCATTACCACCCCTTGGTCCTCTGATGCTAAACCGCCTGTGACTTAAAAGAGTCAAAAGGGTTGTTGGCATGTTGTGTCTTTGTTTACTGCTGGGCTGGGACATGTATACTTTTCAGTTCAACACATCTGATTCCAGCACATCCTCTGTTAGTCACCTGTTACAAAATACTTGTTAAAGGTCAATGGATCTAATTTTGGTCCTTTAAATGACGCCCCAGATCCAACTCTGGGAAAATACACATGAAGAAACCAACAAATAAATGTGAATACATTTTAGTGGAGAGGGATCTGAGGACATGTTCAGAAGGTAGATTGATTTATGACCCTTTTTGTTTTAAATGATGCTGAATCATGTACAGGCTGTACAGCTAAAACATGATTGCCTACTGCAATAGTGGTAGTTCCTTTACATGTGGCTGTGAGACATGGAAAATACAATTATTGGAAAAGAGACCTATCTGAAAGGTACTTAGAATATCATACAGCGACTACATCACAAATAATGAAGTCTTCTGTATCATCACTCAACATATTGACATTTGGATCTACCAGTGACTCCAAAACTACAGGGCTTTGTAAAGAGAAGAGCAGAAAAGGCAACCCAAAAATGAATTATGGATGTTGAATGTCACTGAATAGACTGACCTCAAACATGCAAAATCAGGTCCACTGCTTCTGACCAATAAAGTCGAGGTACTTGATCAGACATTCAACAGCAACTGATGAGAAAACAGTACGTGGTGTTGTGGGACTGATGATTTGTAAATCTCAGGACTATCTTTTTTTGAAAGAAATCCTGCAGTTTGTGTCAAATGAAGCAATTGAACCATATTTAACTAACAGTGGGTTTATGTTGTTTCACTGCATGATCCTAACACAACTTGTTGCTTTGTTTTAAATCGACTCCCCGCATGTCCATTCAAATTGAAAAGTTATGTTGTCTATGCAGTACCAGAAAGATGCCGTGAAGATCAGTTCCAGTGTGGGACTGGAGAATGCATTGACAGTCGTATGGTGTGTGACAGCATCTCTGACTGTCCAGATAGTTCTGATGAAGAGGTCTGTGGTAAGTATTTGCTCTGCTGTTAAAAGCTTGTACCTTTCACAATTAAAACATGATTTAGTGGGTATGAAAGGAAATGAAGAGGTAGATATAGAAGCAAAGAAAAGCAGAGCAACAACATGATAAAATACATACAGCTATAAGCAGAGATAATGTTCAATTGGTAATTACAAATAGAATAACAGTAAAATGGAAAGGAATGAAGAATGAAAGCTTGAAGAGAAGATATACTTACCAATGGTTAAAAGTTCCACTTTGAAAATTGCAAATAACAAAACTAAAAATCGCTTGCAATGTAAAATTACTGGGACTGCAGCTTAAAATGACCTAATTCTCTATAAAAGAAGACACCTGTTCTGAATACCAGAAACAGAATAATCATAAACACTGTTTGCCATATTGTCAAAATCATCAAGTGCCTTGCTAATGGCATGGGCAATCCTGCCTCCCCACAATCTGGAATCTTCAACAGCATGTATCAGATGGCTGCCAAAAATCTTCTCATGTTGTCTTCCTCTGCCCTTATTTTTCTTCACAGATCTTTCCAGTGATCACAGTATGTTCCAGTTTTTCATCGCACTAAGCAAAAATTATGACTGTCTCTTTCTGATGTTTGTGATAAGCTGTCTTTGAGCCCTCACCTCTTTTAACACATCTCTTTTTGGCTGACCAAGGGATTCCAAGGATTCTTCAAAAGAACCACAATTTGCAGCCATATTGTCAAAAAAAACTTAAGGACCTTTTTCCATGCTTTTAGTGCAATAGGGCTAGACCTATATTTTTATAGACCAAACGGCACAAGATGGGTGATGTGGTCATCTCGCTGGCTGCCTTTATTTCCCAGGACTGCACCCAGTACCCACTCAAGGCTGGGTCGACCTCAGAGTCAAGGTCATTTTTGAAAAAAGTCCAGCTCCGCAATGGAGTGAATCGGCACGCGAGCATCTAGCCGCTACGCCCAGTGACTCCCACAGCCATATTGTGAGAAATATTAATTCCAAAAGTCTTCCCTTTCTTCCCTAGAAATGATAGGGTATTTTCTCTACTGTACAGCTCTGAGAGAGCCTGAAATGGGAAGCAATTAAAGTCCAGGGATTTAAATGCGGCCGGCATGATGCCAAGTGCTGATTGGTCTGTAAAATATAGGTCTCGCACTATATATACCCAAAGTGCATAAGGCTGTGGAAAACAGTCCTTTACTTTGTACTGTCACAGGTTTGGGAGCTGACTCACCCTCATAATAATGCGTGACAGACAATTTGAAACATTTTGAGGGAAGGAAAGATAATGAGGAAAAGAACTGATCATCAACATCATGTTTTCACCTAGAATATGTTATTTAGTCATTAGTTGAGGTTCTAACATCAGTGCAAATAGGTCACCCCATAATTGATCCATTCCGGTGCCAGTGGAAATCACATAAAATGTCCTTCACTGTCCGTTTCAAAAGCTAGTGAAAAACTAGTCCCATTGAAATCCTTAAGCTTTCACAAGTAAAGTAAAGTAAAAGTTCCTAAAGCAGCTGTCAGATGTGCCATCACTAACAGTTGCGCACCAGAATTTCAGTTTACTGTTGGTGCAAAGGTCAGTCATGTACACACCATTCTGAAAGTCGTCAGCCACTCACTATTTTGATGTAGTCAACAACAGGTATTAGGACAGTGGAAAAACCTTCCACATCAAATCCACTGCTCACAGTATCACACCAAGCATTCAGCTGTAATTGGGCCTAGAATATACTTTGCATCCCAAACATTTTTATCTTCTATTTGATTACCTTACCTATAAATAAATAAATGTAGCAAGGGCTATATTATAACTTTAATTGTGTACATAATTTTTGTCAAACAGAAGAACCGTGCAGAGACACAGAATTCCGCTGCTTGGACGGTGAGTGTGTGGACCTGACTGCTCGATGTAATGGGAGATTTGAGTGCCGAGACAGATCTGATGAACAGGATTGTGGTAAGTAGTATTGAAGATTTCAGTTTGCCAGAAGTTCACCCCAAACTTGATCCATTCCTGTGCCGGTAAAATCACTTGAAATACTCCTCGTCCCATTTCAGAACTAATGAGCAGTCCAGAAATTTTACCCTGCAGTACATGCATAAAGCAGTTGTTAGAGATGCCAACGCCAACAGTCACCATTAGAATTGCAATTTATCAGTGATGAAAGCAGTTAGTCATGACAAGTGGAGAAACACGAGTATCTGCATCATCTTGCAAACAAATGATAGCAAGTCAACATTTCAGAGACAAATGTGCATATTGTATCCAGGATATGCAGGAGTGCAGGGGAATGAAAGAGCTGATTTTTTTTTTGGTGGGGGGAGGAGGGGCGGATAAAAAAAAGCGATTGCTTCAGAAGCATTTGTACAAGGCAAAGGAGACATTCTAAAGACCATTTATGAATGAATGCTGATAGAAGGCACAAGGTTAGATGAAATAACCTGTGCAAAAATGTGTGAATGTGTAATTAGTAGTGGGTCCAAGAAGGAGGGATGTATGAGAGCAAGAGAACGACATTTGTATGATCAGTGCACTACCAGAACAGTTGGCATCTACACCGATAGACATTTGCTGTGGAAGACGGAACACTTATGGGTATACCTGGTGAGCTATGATGTTGCTTCTTAAATCAGTAATCAGAGTGATTAGACATTGTTCTTGATAAATAATTGTTATTTTGTTTTTTACTGACTTCTTTGAAAAACTTGCAGCCTCTAATTTTAAACTTACTCATCTGGTGACAATGCTCTTGCAGCTGCAGCCACCTGTTCACCATCAGAGTTCACCTGTTCTAATGGCCAGTGCATCTCCAGTGCACAACGTTGTGACAGAAAACCTGACTGCTCCGACGGAAGCGATGAAAGAATCTGTCGTAAGTTCATAGAAATAGTTAGTGAGTAGAGTTGAGTTGAGTCAAGAATTGACATCACAGCACTTGGGGCATTCCCATGCATGCTTCATCCTCATCTTCAGCAGCCAGTGCAGAGTTCCAATACTGATGGTACGGGTCACAATCTGGTTATATGTTAGTCTTGCCTTTCCTTTGAGTGTAGTGAGCCAGCCAGTTAATGAGTAGAGTGAATGAATGTAAAGGTTAATAAATTTTTTTTTTTTTCTATTTTTCTTCTTCTTCAGCATTCCAAGCCCTTGAGATTACTGCAGATATCACACTCCTCCATTCTTCTCTGTGACAGGCATTTTCATTCCAACGGGTGGCTCCATGCATTCGTGGGTCTACATGACTATTATCTATCCACCATTTTCTAATTATTTCTCTATGTTACTATTGCCCTAGCATTTTCTTTTTCTTCTTCGTGTTCACCAACTGTTCACCGGTGAAAAGTTCTGACTGTTCATCCACTTGTGAATTTTTGTCTTTTTTGCGTGTGCATTCATTTTACAGATTTATCTTATTTGTATGCTGACTTAGTTTCTCACCTCTAAGACAGATGCACCCTAGCTTTAAATAAACAGCCCTAATTAGTTGATTTTTACAACATGTTTGCTAGGAAAGCATTAGGTCATACCCCCCCCCCCCCCCCCCACCGTCCCCGCAATGGGGCCCTCTAGAACCGATACAGGTAATATGTGATGATGAGATTGGTTGTTCTATAAGGATGATTGTTAATGGGAGTAACTTTTTTGTGTGTGTGAGGATGAGATTGGGTTTTTTTTTCTATGTGTGTGTGTGCACGTGCGTGCGTGCGTACCAGCATGTGAGCAAGAGAGAGGGAGTGAGAGTGAGTGAGTGAGTGAGAGTGAATGAATGAATTAATAGATGAATGAAAATTAAGTTGAGGTATTAGTGGGATTGGTAATTTTGTGACCAGGGTTCATCTCTCATTTTTCTAGTTGAGTTATGAGTTGAGAACTGACATCATAGCATTTGGAGCATTCACATAGGTGCTCCATTTCCATCTTCAGCAGCAAATGCAGAGGTCCAATTCTGATAGCACCAGTAAGAGTCTGATGGTATGTCCATCTTGCCTTTCCCCTGAGTGTTGAACATCAGGCAGATCCCTCGTCACTCCTCACTGCATCATTCTCTTGACACTGTGTTGTCTGTTTGCCCCTCCCAATTGTTTACTCACTTTCAAAGAGCCTTTACATCTTGCTTGTTAAGCATCATTTTACCACTAAGTGAGACAGAACCAGCTTATCTATCTGCTTGTTCATTTCCTAGTACACCAGCATTACTATATATGTCTATACCATGCGTTTTTTGGTTGTGTGTAGCTTGTACTATATACATTTTCGTCTACACCATTTTTTTACCTTATATACTGTTAATATTTTTTCCACACTGTTTTTTACATTGTTTTTTAAAATACTATATTAACCATGCACAGTGAAGATCAAAATCTGTTCTTGAATTTAAGAAAACTAAAATAATGTCCACAGATAAAACTGGCTGTCACCCAAAATAAACAATAAATGATGAAGAAAATGTCACAAACTTTGAATATTTAGGCTCTATAATAAACAGCAACAGAGACTGTTTGAAAGGAGTTAAAAGGAGGATGGCCATAGCAATGCAAAGATTAAACAGCCCTAAAAGTCTATGGTTAAGCACCAGCAAGAAGATCAAAATTAGAATTTTGAGAGCATGCATCTTCCCTGTGGCTACATACGGATGTGAGTCGTGGACTATCTCTCAGTCCTTAAGAAAGAGTACAGGGGCTTTTGAGCTGAAATGCTATAGAAAGATTCTCAGAATATCTTGGACAAAGAAGAGGAGAAATACTGACATCTTGAAAGATCTGAACATCAAGGAAGATTGGCTAATAAACAGCATCCTGTCTCAGAAGCTAAAATATTTTGGTCATATCAAGCGCCACAACAGATTGGAAAAAAATTTTAGCAGAAGGCATGGTACCAGGAAGGAGGGGCAGGGGCCGACCGACACGAAGATGGGCACAGGATATAAGTGACTCCTTGAGTATGAAAGTACATGAGGCGGGAGAACTGGCGAGAGACCAAGTTTGTTTCAGGCA